CTCTTGCAGCCAAAGACTGAATTACAGTCAATTTACAATTTAAAGAAGACAGTAAAAATACATGGAAGTAAAATCAAGATATTAAAAAGTACATATATAAAAATGTAGTCATTCATTACGAGCTACATCAAGTAGAAAATAAACTCATCAGAAAGACATATACATGAATAAAAGAACATATTAGCGACCAATCTAATCCAACAACAGTGACTAGGAAGTGACATTGTAAACAGAACAAAAAAAACAGACATAATGAACCATGTTAACGTTGATTCAAAATCAACATTACATGTATGTAAGGGATAGAGCTGCATTTGTAGTGGTTGGTCCTGCCAAAATTACGAGACAGAGTTTCCAGTCTATTGGACACAGTAGGAATGCTAGATGATTGGCAGATGTCTCTGTAGGATCAGATTGTACAATAATAAGCTGTGAATATTACACAAAGAGCTTTACGCTGCATTTTCTCCAGGCACTCCTTTTTTAGTCCAACCACAAAACCAGAAAGGTGAAGCATACTCAAGAGTAGGCCAAACATACTGCAGATAGTCAGCTACGGGAATATTACAGTGTTGCTGAAGAAAATGTAATTTCCTGTGAAATGCTTTACACATGGAGGTATAACTTGGGTGTCCCATTTCAAATACAAATACATGGGCGTATATAGAGGGGCTTGTGGGGTACCGGAACAATGGGAAGTACCCCATAGGGTACTTGTGGGGTACTGAGACGGTACCCGACATGTTGTGATCAGGAGTACTACCAGTAATGTACATCCCCAACCACTAGGTGATGTGACACACTTCCCTCCCACAACATTAAGTAACGTTACTCTGTACCCGACAAGGATTTCACAAAATAGATATTTCAAATTTACTCAAAAAGGTGCAATGTTCAAGTGCCATTCATCTGTCACAAAATGAAGCATTTTAAATCAGGGACGTTAAGTCAAATTTCCAAAGTAGGAAAGTGAATCTGGTTCAAATGGGAGTGATTTGAAAATTTTTACTTGTTGTGTGGGAGTTTTGTACACGAGAACAAAGGGACTACCCCACAAGTGAATTAAAGGTTGCGTGTATTAGTTGGTGTTCGGACAGCTGATTTGAACTCTTTATTAATTATTCTTTTCCTTTGTAAAGATGGCCAACCATAGTTGTAGCAGCCACTTGTAGGAGAAACACAATGGTGACATTAAAAAAACAGACCTTATATATGCACTCTTGGACAGGAGCTAGAAATGTAAAAGTGACTTACCCAAGAGCAAAACATGTAACCAGCTTCTGGATTCAAACCATGCACCGATGTTGTGATCAGTAGTACTACCAGTAATGTACAACCCCAACCACTAGGTGATGTGACACACTTCCCTCCCACAACATTAAGTAACGTTACTGCAAGTGTTTTTATTTTCTGGTACTTGTATGCATACTGTGTACTACAGGGCATATGGTACCGAAGTTTGAAGTCATTATCATAAGGTAGTGACCCAAGATTTTGGTACTTATTATTGCTACACACTTACCATTCATGTACAATGTACGCGTATAATACAAAGTAAGAAACATAGAGTTGGCGATCTATTTCACATGTAGGTCCTTCCAGCGATGCTCATGTGTGGGAGTATCGTAAAAAATTTGTGCAACTTGTTGGAGATCATACAAGAATAGAATTACCTGAAAAGGTTTGCAGTGGCCCAGGCCTCACTTTGGGGGTTGGGAGAAATTTTTCCATCTAAATTGCATACTGTGGTGTCTGCAGAGGATTGTCGGCCCAGAAACAGCACCCACTTCCACCTCTTACGGCTCACAAGCGTTTCTACAGGTGGTTGAGATAAACATGTGTTGTGTGAACCAGAAATACTCATGCCATTAATGCAGGGGAAAGTAAAAAAATGACCGGAGGAATCTAAGATTGCAAGAGAGAAATCTATGCGCTTGACTGTTTATCGTATCAGCACTGCTTCAGCATGATGGAATAATGCCACCATTTGTACTGCCACATAGATCATTAAACAAATATAACCCCAAAACCCAGATCAACCCAATAGCAGTTGTTCTCGTTCTCAGCACGGTCATTTAGGCCACACTTTTTACATTTTTGACTCTGGATTTTTTCTTAAAGGAGGCAGGATGGGAAAATGGAATACAGAAAACAAAAAAGGTAAAATTCCCTCTTTGTCAAGGGAGGCCATTTTTCTGTGTCAGTTGGTTGCCAAGCAAGGAAATGGGATACAGGCTGGAGGAACTGGTTTTTTCTAGCTATGTGATGCTACTGAAAGTTATAAATTTCATGCTTTTATTTTTGCCAATTCTGCCACTGCAATTGTAACGAATTCCACAGTAAAATAACATTAAAATTGGTTGATTTGAAAATGGATTTTTTTTTTCAATTTGCATAAAAAAAGGTTGGGATTGATCTTAAAAATAAATGTTTAGCCTCACTCTCAAAACATTTTTGAATCAGTCTGTAGAAAGTGTGATTGAAAATTTGTTCTCTGTTGCCAAAAGTTTGCTTGAATTCGTACCAACAACATTTCTTCTGCTGCAGTCTTTACATCCTAATAGACAATTATTTATTTGTTTCTTGCCATGCCGGCATGAAAAGCCCAATCTGGCATTAAGACTGACTGAAGACATGCTGGCCTAATTTCTTGTCCACTAGAACACTTTCCGGAAGTGAGATTTCTGTGAATAGATACATGTAGTGAAGTGGACCTTATTTGTTCTGTTAATTGGGAAGGGTTGGGAAGCGTTGGGCTTGATGCTATGATGGGATCTGCTCAGTAGACCAAAGGCTGGAAAATCCAAGGGTTCATTAGTCTGGCAAATTTCCTACAGCGGGGCGTTCATTAGTCTGAGAGTGAGATTCATATATGTGAATGGAAGCATTTTTGTGATACCCTCAAGGTTCAGTAGTCAGAAAGTTTGATGATCCGAAGCTTGATGTTTCCTCAGGTGATAGGCTACCGGACTCTAGTTCAGATTTAAGGTTAATCCGCCCAGAGATTCTGAAGTTGAAAATCAACCCAAGGTTATTTTTTTTTGAAGGTTCATTGATCTGAATTACATGTACATCCAAGGTTCGAAACTTGACTTTTACTTCCCTGAAAATTTTATATTGTCTTTTAGTGCTGTTTCAATGTAGCGTTGCTATCATTTTATCTTGTTTAACAAATTGAGTTGGTATCAAGTATAGACCAATTGCTAATTTATCTTTCCTCCATATTTGCCTGATACTAACCATGTTTGGTTGTGCATTGATGGACTTACATGTATTTTAATGCATTCTCATTTTTGTGATCCAATTACCTGAAATATTTACAACTTTTCAATGCGGACAAGGGGCTAGGTCTTAGAAAAATTCATCAATGAAATATGTGCATCATCATATGGCCTTCATCAATGGAACAACAAATTGGATGACGATTAATATTAATGTTTGTCATCTTAGGCAGACTGCTTGGCGTACTTTTATTAATGGAATATGCGAAAGGATACAAATTGTCTTATTTTGAGTGTCCCATTTAGAGCTTTGTTATGCAAAACATTTTCAAAATATATGTACACATAGCATAGTATTTTCAAATTTTAAAATATTTCAAATCTGTATACAGTAGAAGTTATGCATGTAGCCATGATAAAGTTGTGTATTGAATTAAGAGATGTGTGCTGGTGCATGTACATGTAAGTTACATGTACATGCTTAAACCTATGAATTACAAGTGTACTAATAGATTGCTGGTTTTGATATTTTATCTTACAAAGTTTTCATTTTGTGAAATATTGTATGTACAGTAATTGATTCCATTAGCATGTAAATGCAAGAATATTTTACCCTTTCAAAACCAAGATTATTCAATGTCAATTTGGAGAGAAGTTCTCACCATGGAATAAAGTTGCATCAGTGAACAAGTCCTCATAGCACATGGAACAGAAGCAACCGATTGCATTAAAGATCTTACAATGTAGGTACATTCATATGTAAAGGTTGAAGTGTTGGCCGATGAAAATGACAAAATAACTCCAAATAGTAAAATTAAACCTGACATGTTGCAACTCTGCACACTTGTAGCTCAGACATAGTGGTCTTCATTGTGAGCAGAGTACCAGTACCTGATATTTAAACCACTTCACATCCGTTATAAGGCCATCTCCCTCCACAGCCAGTTTTGGGTCACCTTTTGAAAGTTTCTCAAGATATTATATATATATGTACAACCTCTCTCCTGATGCACCGTGATCCATTTACATGCACTTTCACCACTTCTTTTTTGTTGAAAAGCAAACAAAGGTACAAGGTACGTGGATGTAAGATTGATTTCCAACATGACACAGCGTGAAGAAAGCAAATTTTTGTTTCTCCCAAGAGACAGAACTAACCAAATAACTCCAGAAATGTTGACTTATTCTCGGTGTTTGTAATTCTATATATCCTCTTGTCGCCATGGCATTGAGACATCCTGGCTCTTCTTGTTGCCATGTTGTGAACAGGTCGATACTTGAAGATGGGAAGGCAAATCGGTGAACTGACAGTGATGTTTCTATGTTGATTTATGTTGTCCCATAGCAAACCCTGCTTTTCTGCCATTAAAGGGGGCCATCGGGAATGTCCAGTGAAATGGTCGGATTTTGTCTGCAGTCTGAACCCAGCCCCATATTCTCTCTGTGTTATTCCACCCATTGGAGTCTGAGAACAGACAGCAAAAGGTTGTTTCAGATATTTTGCTTTGTAATGTATTGACAGTCCCGCCATCTTCTTACTCAAGCAGGACTTGTCCAAAGTCTCTACCAACTGTAAAATTGCACTGTAAGTTGATCTGCCATGTACTGATGTACATGTACGTAGACTTCACATTAAATCAGGACTTTTTCAGCTGGCAAGGTAGCACCATACATGTAGCTGTGCTTTCCTCTAGAACCAATCCACTTCCTTGAACAAAGTCAAAACTCGTACTTTCTTTCTTTCCCCCCCCCCACCTTCCTTCCCCTCTCCCTCTGCAGTGTCCAGTAGCTATCTGTATGTCGACGCAACCGGTAAAGAGAAGGGCACCCTCTCACTCCTCATCAGTCCTCGGTACTCGGAGAGTGGTCCTCAGTGCAACCTTCATTTCTTCTACCACATGAGTGGCAGCGACGTGGGGACATTACGAGTGATTCTCATCTTGGACAGGCGGAATGTCACCGTCTGGGAGAAGAGAGGAAGCCAAGGAAATTGGTATGTTACATTAATTTGACAGCCCCTCCGACAACTCTCTCTTGGCTTAGTTGTATGGCTAGTTGAGCTCAGGTTGCAAAATTAAATATTACTTTGTGATGTTGGCAAGTAATCGCTCCTTGGATTTGTAAGTTGAGCCTTTTTGAATAACCTACAGGAAAATATCACTCTGAATGTTTCTTGACATCAACTTTACTTTGCATTGGTGGCATAATTTTGGAGAATGTGGGTGGGACGGACGTATGCCCCCCCCCATAAGAATTCTGTGCCACACTGGTTGACCCCCCATTCAAAATTTGAAAGGTACCGGCACGGGCGCACAGCCTTATGGTATGTACTTGCCATTTTTTGCTTCCTTTCAGTGCCCCCTGGAAAAAAAAAATGTGTACCCCCAGATGTCCCAACTGCTCCAGTTGCATTTACTTTGTGCTGATATGAGTTGGCTTTAACTTCACCAAGTCCCCCTCCCCCACCAAAACAAAAGTGTTTCCCTTTTTGTCACAATGTTGTCACTCCAATAGAAGAGTTTTGAGTAATAACATTGTTCTCATATCTTGCTTTCAGATAAGAAAGTGCACCTCAAACATAATCCTTCTGGCTCTCCCAGTACAAATCAAGTTAATCGTAAATAAATTTACACACTATACACAATTTGATGTGAGTTACATCAGAGAAATTCCATGATGAGAAAGCACAAAGCAGGTATTAGTAAAGACCGACATCCATCTTGGAAAAGGACCATGTTGCAATTTAGGGGCTCCAAACACAAGTCTCAATTAAAATACAGTTTACAGAACAGAGCATCAGACAGCAGGATCAACAGAGACACTATCGCACCCAAGGGAAAGTCTTGTCAATTCCAGAGCAAGTGCTTGCACCACAGGCACTCTTGTCAACACTCATGTGTTACTGGGATGACAGTCCGTAAAGACAAAATACATGGTTGCCAATTGGGGGAAGCGTCATCAGTTGGCAGTTCCTACTCCTCGACACCTTTTCATCATCACCACATGTGAAGGGTTACGATAAAGCGTGTCTATTTGCACTGCTATTAAATTAAGAAGTGCTAGGTGAAAAGGTTAATGTGAGTGTGATCAAACATGAATTCGTGTTGTACATGTATCTGTATGGCTTTGTAAGTTGTCTGTAGAAGTGCCTGTCAGCCAGTGCATGCTGGTACTTGGGTCATTCCATGAGGTTGGGATACAATTTGTGACGGTGTCAGTTGTTACATGGGTTCTGTAAAAATGGACAGTTATTTTCCTGCGTGTGGATTCCAAATTTACGTTGTTATACGTGTACATGTGTACATCTTGCAAGGCTGAATACAGAGGTTTGTTATTTTTACAGAGTAACTGTCCAACTCTACAGGTCATGACAGGTGGTAAAAGTTCCGGATGTAACAAGGACAGCGTCATAAATGGTGCCCCAACCTCATGGAATGACCCATTTACAAATTAAAATACAAATGTGATAAAAAAATAAAATAAAAATAAAAAGCAAGATACTTGAGATAAGAATTAACTCACATATAAAGGATATCCGATTAAATTAAACTTAAAATAATAAAATAACATTTAAAGTAAAATATACACAGCACAATTTGCTAGGTTTGTGTTAAAAGATCATTCAACATCGATTTCTTAAATACATCAAGAGATGGAGATGATCTTATGTCAAAATTTAAGGTGTTCCATGCCAACAAACCTTGTACAACCAGACTATGCTGATAACAGCTTGATTTGAACTCATGGATCATTAGTAATTCAGCTGCTGATTGTCTGGTTCCATGGCTGTGGGTATTAGAGACTTTTACAGTGTGTTCAGATAGCTAACTCGGAACCAGATTATTTATACACGTATCCATGAAAGCCACTAAAAATGAATGAATCGTTTCTGCAAGGGGAGCCATCGTAATTCATCAAATAGTTCGGTTCCCGATGAGTCAAGCCCTTTGTTCAAAGTAACTAGCAGTATACTTCTGCAATTTGACAAGTTTATCAATGTGTTTTTGAAAACAATCAGACCACAGTAATCAAAATGAGGTAAAATAAATGTGTTATAGAGAAGTTTGAGAGATTGAATTGGTAGGTATGGTTTGACATCCCAAGGCTTGCCTGAACTGTACTCACAACTTTGTCAACATGTTCAGACCAGTTCAGCTGCTCGTCAATAATTACAGCAAGACATTTTGCTTTGACGACCCGGTTCAGTGCGTGATTATTAAACTCTACCTTTAAGGAAGTTGCTGTGCCTAATGCACAGGCCTTTTGTGTCTTGATCGACCCCTTGTAGCTCAGGATGACACACTCGTTACATTTTGATCTGGACCATCTATTTTTTCTCCTTAAATTTTAGGTAATTTAGAGCACCTCCAGTCCTGATTTAAAAACTGCAAGTAATTCAAAAAGTAAAGAAAGACTTGTACAGACTTCTTCTTTGTCAGTTACCTGGTACATGTACATCTACCTGCTGGAATGTAGTCGCTCGCTTCATAATCAGGGCACAGTTTCTGTAGAACAGTCTTTGAGAGCTGTCGAGACTCATTCTTGGCGTGAGTTTTTCCTTTTCTATCATTTGCAACCCTTACACTGCTCATTCTGTTCAGCATTATTTGGTGGGAGACAGTGACCGTTGTCACAAGTGTTGCTCCAGCTGGACTTCTGAGGACACTTCTGGGGGAATATAGAATGGCTAACTTACTGCATGGGAAAGATAAATGCTAGTCCAGTTCTAAGATTGAGTTGTAGTTCTTTTCTCTTGGTGGGGATTTGGGGAAGGAACTTAAACCATCGTGGGCCTGCCAATTGCCTGTAAAGCATTGGGAAAATGTTAGCAAAGTTGGTTGTGATTTTTGGGAATTCAGCTTTACACTGTTAACACAGGATGTGCCATGTACATACATGTGTACGTGAACAGTAATATGTTGGATATGCATTATAAACAGTGGTTTCCTACTGTAATGTCCCTTCTGCGTGTACATGTACCGGTACATGTATGTACAATGTACATCCACCATTTGGCTGCTAGGAATATTCACACAAAAAATATCCACCTCAATAGCTCTCCCCCCAACCTGTGCCCAGTTCCGGTGGTGGATAGCGCCGAATCATGGATGGAACAGGAAAGTGGTCACGCATTAATAACTTTGACCTGTAAACAATGGCTTGTTGCCTCCTCCTTGTTGACGCTTCTGTCACCCCCCCCTCCAACAAGGTGATTGGCTCGGATGTGTGCCGGAACAATTAAAATTGTATTGGATTGTTGTTCGGTGGATTGCATCGGGGATCAATGGCAGCAGCTGAGCGGTACCATTGATGGCTGGATTGAGGTCAGGATCTGCCGTTGTAGACACACACGTATGCAGGTTCATTTTGTGCCACTGTCATTGGCAGCCCGGCAATTTAATAGTGAGCTGAAAAGCAAGCTCTTAATTCACCTTAATCCACTACTGGGTTTTCTTTATTTAGCTAATTTTTGTTGGTAAGTTTGGTAGTGAGAGAAGCCTATTGTACAGTATTGTGGTGAGAAAAGTTAATGTAGTCTGTGTTTTATTTGATTTGGATTTTTCAGTGTCCAAATCCTATGTTTGAATAATATGCCTTGGCAAGAAAATCAGGGAGAGGTGTGTAAATGTGAAATTTGGTTTGAGTATGAATCATGTACATTAGGAGTCACACATTGATGCATGTGTATGGGCAGAAATGGGATCACGATATACATATAATCGGCAAACCATCCATTACCTGTATGTGGACTTACTTGTGGGGCCCAGTAATTCTTGTTGTCAAGTGGAAGGTTTGCAATATCAAAGTCAATTTTTGTCAGTGTGTCAATCCCCTCACATCACTCATTTGATAAATTCCCCCCCCTCACCCCTGATGACCACCCAAGTGGCATGCTAGTACCAGTATCTCAAGTTGGCAAACGGTGCATGCAAAGTGTCCATAATTGAGTTCTGGCTAACCGTTACTACATGTATAATGCACATGTAGAAATCTCTCAGTGTAAGCATTTGCGGATCTGTGTGGCATTTGCGGATCTGTCTGTTAGCTTGAAAGAAAAAATTGCAATTAAGCAAGGACATCAAAGTTTAGACTATGTTGATCAAAAATAAGAAAGTATACCATATTTTGTACTTTATTCTCAGTATATTTCATTTTTTCACAAGTGGTGTAGAATTCAATACGGTCAGAATACACTTGTACATTTTCTCATGGTGCGAGTATGTTTGCTCTAAAAATAAAAAAGTAGAATGCACATGCATTCACTGCATTATTTAGTGTTCGGAGAGTGCATTGATATTTTCTGGCTGCAGGCTTGTCATCGTGTACTGTTTACTCAACAGCTTTGCATATTCAAACCAACCCCCTTCTTGCCTCTGTCAATAAATGCCCAAGGCTGAGAGCCAAGCACAGCACATGGAACAATCTTTAACCATGTCCCAACTTTTCTCGTTTGTCCAGAACTTTGAGTGAATAACTTTGTCTGCATTTTCCCTCCCCCAACCCCTTCCCTGTCCTTGTGAAATCTCTTCCCCTGGAGCAGGTGGCTAGGCGATGTACTGGCCCTGGGGAGACTGAAGGAGCCGTTCCGTGTCATGTTTGAGGCGGAGCATGAAGGAGGTGGCGAGGCAGGTGACCTGGCGGTGGATTCCGTGGAATTGAAGGATTGTTCCCCAGGTCAGTGACTGTAATGAGCGGGCTCTTACCTACAGTCAAGATCTAGAAAAGGTTTCAACCAGGGAGTGCTTCATACGTGTTAAAGTGGATGGGGCAAAGGGGAAGGTGTGTCATGAGGGGCATCTGGAAATGTGCCACATCCCCTGATTTGGCAAACTCTAAAGTCACCAGCACATTAATTATATTGCCTGAATCAGAAATGGCAATCTACAATACTGTTTCAAATTCAAAGGAAATATCCTTCAAGGGACCCTTAATGTTCCCTCCCCCTTTTTCCAATCTAGTCTCTTTTCTATGATTTCATTCTGAACCCTTCCAAATTACCTGCCATGTGTACCATCCCATTAAGGGTTTCAAATGTATACAATATGCTCAGTGATTGGACAGAAATTGGGCACCCCACAAATACAGTCTATTGTAGACTTTTCACCTGCATACATGTGACAATGATGTAGCATTCTGTCATGGATGCAACAAGGTTTCCATGTGCCTGGGGGATGGAATAACGTCAGGTTTTATAGAAAGTTTTGATTCATTTGGCCTTGCTTTCCAAATTGTTTTAACCGCACCTGCATATTAAAATACATGTTGGTAAATTGTGAGAAAGGTTCAGTAACTGAAACTTCAAGAACATCCTGAATTCAAGAGCTCTCACGAGATTGCACTCAGAAGTCAATTACAATATACGTTTGGAGAGACGCGATAGATATGTAGAAAGACATGATAGATAGTTTTGGGGACCCCCAATAATGAAACACTCGAAAACAGAAGTGTCTACTTCTGTGGGCTCTTTCAATTTTTTCCCAATCAGGGGAAATTAAAATCTTAGATTGGAAGATAATTCAAACTGGGTGCTCACAAGGCATGATTGATTGTACAACACCGACAGTGTGATCAAAGAGTTCTACGGGTCCTCGGAATGAGAAATTGGAAACACGAAAGGAAAAATGAAGGCAGAGGTTTGTTTGAAATTTGTTCATCTACAAATTCCAGTCACATAACCCATAATGTATGCTTGCAGAGAGTGTATCTGTGTAATTGAAACCTCCCCGATGGACATCTATTGCCATCTTTTCTAACCCATTCGATATGTCACTGGGCATGGGTCAAAAGGTTTTGGAAGTAAAGTTTGCTTATTTTTTAAATGTTGTCCCCCCCATGTTTTTAGGTAAAAATGGCGGGAAGTGGAGAATTTCACAGGCTGTAAAGCAAGTGGAGTATGAAATCACTGAATATCTTGTGCATGTTTTGTTACTACATGTATTTTTATAAAACATGGTTGTATTGTTCTCAAAAAAGGTCACGTTTTCAATACACGTGAAAAAATCTTATGTTTTTCATTTACCACGATTCAAAGGCAGTAATGCAGAATACTTATAAGCGTATTTAGAAATTAGAATTTTCTTTGCTGAAGTGACAGGGTCTCAAACAAGTGAGCTCTTCCGAGTTCAAGAGAGGGAAGTTGGACATTGCCTCTGTGAAGTTTTAGACCCGCCGGTTGTTAACCAACAGTTTTCATCCAGCACATGGCTTCTATGTGGCATACCCAAAAATGTGCCAGTTCAAATTTACCCCTTTTTGAGTTCCTTACAAATTTTGTTCACACCCTGCCTTGAATTTGTCATTCCTGTGGGCAAGGCCTTTCCTATAAGTTACATGTAATTAAAGCATTTTTCACAAAAGTGGCCACAGAAGTTTTTCCTTCACACAATGCTTAAGCTTTTGGGAAGCGAACTTTGTTATTTTTTGCGTCCATAGATCATTCACACAGCCAAGGTTGTTATTGACACAATGGCAGCCGGATAATCTTTGATGCGGAAAGTAATCATATTACGTGTTGTATTTCCCAGGGATAATAAGCAGAGAGGGGAATATTAATCCCAACGTCCCTGAATCGATCAAAATCCACTGCCATGCTCTGCAATATTGAGGACCCTCTGTGTGGCAGAGAGGATGATTGGTTACCCTGGAAAAGTGGCTGTGAGGGTCATGTGGTTATTTTTGGTGTGTGAGTGGCATGGACATCTTGCTTTGTTTACCTGGCATGTGGTGGCAATGGCGTTGAAATTGCTGGTGGCCAGCTTTCTCTCTTTGTGCCCGTTGAGGGAGCTCTTGTGCACAGAGCTGTAGAGCCTGTAGCCGGTTTGGTGTAGTGCATGCCCAAAACGGAGCACCCCCGAGGTCTTTCCTAACAGCGGGCAGTGTATTTGCGTGAGCATGAGGCCTGCCTCATCAGCTCAGCCATAAGCCAACTCAAGTTGTTCTCATAATGACCTTGCCTTTTTGAAATACCAAACTGGCTAATTGTTTGGCTTTTAATGCTGGGTTGTAAGTTTCTTGCAAGGCACCTGTATATGCACTCATTGCTTACATCTGCTCTGTGGAAATACACATTTATGGTAGCTGCTAAATTTAGTGACCAATGAGAAAAATCCAGCTTACTTGTAAGTATTAAAGTTACTATAGTTTCTGAATCAATAGGTACAGACATCAAAGCTGCGTTCCTGTTGGACATTGAGAGATGAACAGGGTTTGGCCAGTAGAATGAAAACATAAGTCCAGTGGTGACATCTTGAGAAGTTATATGTATAACAACCCAGCTGAATGTCCTTACAGAATATTTCATGGGCTTTTTCTTGAATTTCCATCATTTTAAAAAATGAAGGAGGCATTAACTACGGTATCAATAAACTTTCGTTTCACTTCTTCATTAGAAACAAAAATTGTCCCCCAGATATCCTCGGATGCCAAACTTTGCATTCGCTGCGCTGATGTAATTTGCTTTTAGGGCCCCAGATGTTTACTGTTGCCACCCACTCATGAAAGGGACAAATATCTCATTTGTCTCCTGCGTTAACAAATGCCATACTCTGTGGACATGCTGATTGCTTGCATCCCTTTTCTACTCCATCTCAAAACAAGTCCCGTCAAGCCCAGTCCCGCTGTTTGAAATTAGCTGTCGGAGTAATCTTAAGCCTCCCTGTACCGGCGTAATTGTCAGGGCAGCAAATGCCTGTAAATGACCTCGGCTCCATGTTTAATTCAATTGCGCCTCAAAAGGAGCTCCGTCTTTGCTTTGGCCGGTTTACATTTGGGGCCTCCGATATTTATCTACCACTGTCCAACTTGTATCAATTTCTGAGGGATATTGTTTACTTGCTGCTTGGGGTGCGGGTATTGGCAAAACAGGGGGCTGCTGAATTTGAGGATGACATTCCATTTGTTTTGCTCTCCAAATATTTGTAAGCCGGCTTGCATTTCCAAATCATGAGATGTCAGAGAAGTCAGATAGATGTGTATATTGAAAGAACCACCCCCTGGTACGTGTAGCCGTAAAGTAATCTTATTAGATAAATGTTTGTAGAGATGAGCCTTTCTATTATTAGAGACTGCAAAAGTTATCATTCTTCATTATCTGTGTACCCACAAGCCTTTTTGCCTGTCAAAAATATTGCATGTCTCTCCGCCTATAAGTCCTTTGATCCTCCGAGATACTTCAAGCTTGCATGTTCACTTTTGCACCGAGGGTTCATGGTGTAACTTGTCAAAACCCGTTGGAGTAGTCCTCTTGCGAGTAGGCTATGCCCCTCGAAATCCTTCTTCACAACCTCCAGTGTTCTAAAGGGCAATCAGTTGGGCCTCTGGGTCCCAATCCAAATTTGTTTTGTTTGGTCCATCAGAACCCTGCACTCAATAGTGAAACTCACTGTGACAGAGTTTTTATACACGCCCAAATAAATGTGATCAAAGTGACTATTTTTCAAAGGTGCTCTGAAACATGACCCTGAGCATCATGTGATTCTGCTTGTAAGGAAATACATGTGTAGTCTACATGTACCTTTGGCAATAGAGCTCCAACACGTTAGTGTTTGGACTTACTCTTTGATGTTATTGATGTTAGTGATTTGAACCAAGTCAAACCAGTAATTGGTTTTGACAAGTTTGTCCATGCCTTGGATTGAATTAAACCTCTGAATTTTATGCTTTCTTTTTTTTTTAATTTGAATTGTCTTGAATATTAAACAAGAAGCTTTTGAAAAGAAGGAACAAGTTTGAAACCACTATCAGAAATTATTAATGTGGGCATTGTAGGTACCGTACACGACTACATGTAGATGTATCTTGGTCACTACCCTCTCTGTAAATATTAGCTCTGATGGTTCGAAAGTAAGTACTGCATTAATTGAGCTATAGATCTTCTTACAAGTGAGCCACAGAACATTTGCGACAGTGTGTTGGAGCTGTGCTGTAGCATGGCAGAGAAATGTGCCTGAAGTGTGCACTGATTTTGTCTCTTATTCCGAGCCAGTTTGTACATGTAAAATTGCCTTTGACTTCCTTAGAGATTTTTACATAAGACTTGAGTACATTTTGGGGTGGGGACTCATCAGCTCAGTCTCGCTGTTCAGAGACTTCATTTGAGTAGCTTGGAGATAAGGATAGGAGTGAAATTACAAGTCACTAGAATAGATATTGCACGTTGAATCTGGCTGGTGGTGAGTCGTTGACAGAACTCAGCGTAATCACTGTTAGTTACAAAACACAAAAATTTCTTGAGTTCAGGAAAAGGATACCAGTGGTTAGCTCATGTGATATCATATTGGTTACGATTGGTTCCATAGCCGATACATACATGTAGGCCTACAGGGTGTGTCGGCGTACCACTCATGCTTGCTTTGTCCTGCTTAAAAATGGGGCCGCATTTTACTGTCAGCATTACAAGATTGCCTTATGCACATGTCGTGCTTTGTTTTTAGTTTCAGATTTGCATTCTGTGCAGCTGTCCAGTTGTAAGTGGGTCAGATGTCAAGAGATGAATTTTTTATGAGGGAATTCTTAACCAGCAACCTCAGAATCTAAGGAGCGTGCACCCATGTCTGGCCCTTTGGCCCCTGGGGTTTGTTCAGTGCATGGAGGTCAGTTGTGAGGATGCATTCATTACGCCTTTCAAATGAGAATCTGTCGAGTCTGTTTATTTCTATTTTAGGGTTTTAATCGTG